TTGTTTGTAAACATGTGATATCATCAAGGAGTACAAATCATCATGCAAACTTTGGTCATCCGTCCAGCGGCTATTGGCTAACCATAGAACGAAGACGGTTACTGCATCGCGTGCCTTCAGATGTTCTTCTGCGGCTGTCTAGAACGCTCTTTCTAATATTAGGAAGACACTGGAGCATTGTACTTTTAATTCTATATTGAAAACGAATTTCTTTAGGTTGTTGTCCTTTCCCCGCAACTGCGATTTGCATGGTTGGCAACATACTGCGAAAGAAGTTCAACATGCGTCCAAACAAATAGGCAGCAGACAGGCCAAGATGAGCGAGAAAGGGAAGGGATCCCAGGACGGTAGTCCCCAAGACAAAATCAGAATCTTTATTTATACTGGAGGAATCTGATGAGCTATAAAGCTCTTTTCACAGATTGCCAGTAGCAGCGGGTCAGAACATGACAACAGCAAGCAATATAACATGATAGAAGTGCAAAGTATATGAAAGATAGGTAAATCACTCAAAAAATCACAAATAAAACTAAACTTTGATTTTACCAGGTAATGTTCACTAAGCTATTATCAGAATCAGAATATTTATTCATACTGGTCGAAACCGATTAGCTATGAAGCTCTTTTTCACAGACGTTCAATAGGGGCAGGTTCGAACGTTACAACAAAAAATACAAAAACACGATGTTAGCTTCTTTTAATCAGAAGCGACCTGGGAAGCTTCAGCAAATGTAGATATATAAATGTACTGCATTGTTGTATAACTTATCGGTCGGATGTAGTATATTTTATTTTATTCAACCAATAACATGTAATAGTTAACGTACTTGGAGTAGAAATATATATTTTTTTAGAACACGTTCATTATTTAAATCACATATTTGAATGTAATGGCCATATACCCTAAGTATGGGCGCCGTGGTGGTGAGATGTTAGCTACCTCGCCAGGGATACAGGAGGTCCAGATTTTGATCACAACGCTGAAGCCTGTACATTTGGAGATTGCATGTTCTTCGCATGGTCGTGTGGCTTTTTCTCCGAGTCCTCCAGTTTTCCCTACACATTTAGAAACATGCGTTTAGAGTATTTAGCTACAATACAATTCCACTTGATGAGCCACTTCGTTGGCCAGGTCGCTTCTGAAAAATAGCGACATGGCTCAGTGGGCCTAACCTGGTAAAATAAAAAAAAGTTTTTTTTTTATAGTTTAATATATGAGTATATTAGAAAATGTATGTACATATTGTAGTGCACTGCGGACCTATATACTAGACGTGATTTGGCGATTCAATTGTGCGCCAAAGAATCAACTATTGTCAATTTCTTTAAATTATACGCGAATGTGCGCAGTGATTAACGCACTGCGCTTTGAACTCTGTATCCTGAATTAAATTCGCAGCCGCGGCTCACATCAGTGGCGAGTGATATTTGAGCCAGTTTTGGGTATCCCTCCCCCCTCCGTTCAATGAGTACTTGGTGCAGTGTGTAAACATCAGCACTGTGAAGACAAAGGTTGTGGTGCTGTCTGTGCCACCCACCTCGCCCTCTACGTGGTGCTGTGCTTCATAGGTTCTCACGAAGAGCAATTGACCCAACAGCCTTTGTTGACGACACGGGGATCTTTTTTTCTGCGACCTGTGGGTGTGATTTCTCAATTGTTATTGTCTCTTGCTTCAAGTCCATATGAAACCCAAAGTGCTGTCATAATTGCAACCTATTGCAACAACATTGTTAAAAGAAATTACATCTCTTTGAGGCCACTTCACCTTTTTAGTTTCTAAAGTGACCCTTACAATAGGATGTAGTTATAGATGTAGACACGCGATGATTATTATTCTCATTCGCTTACGTGCCCAGTTGATGGGCGATTTTAAGTTGCCTTCATGATAGATTTGTGAAACTGATGATCATAAAATAACAAAATCACCAGATTACTTTGAATTCGTCTTCTTGTTTGAAAATCGGATTTTTGTTTGATTCAATGTTAAGTTTTGTCTGTGAACAGCATGAGTTTAATACCGTTCACAGAAAACATTTGCCAACATATATTTCTTTAGCAAACAGACATTGATGAAATATGAAACCTACCTATCATGGCAGTTTTCCATGCTCGTAATGCATTTTCTTTTAACAACAATGCATTTGACAAATGTACACTTGTCTAAAAATAACTTTTAAGGGACAGCTTGCGTGCAAAAAAACTACTATTGACGAACACCCCTTTAAAATACTCTTTGGTTCTATTGGGTAAAGTGACTTTACCCAATAGAACCAAAAAGTATGGATCCTTGCAGTCACGAAAGCTTTAAATCTAGAACCCCTTTAAAATGTTACTTCTGTGCAGAGAGCGCGAACAATGACATGCGTGCCTTTAGGTGTACTGCATTTGACGTCATTGGGAAACTTTACAATGGTTATATTTCAACCTGACATTTGACATGAATTAAAATTAGACCTTTACTCCGCTGGACTCCCTGATGTCTGTTTTTAGCCACTTGCCAACCAATAATTTCTGAGTTATAATTGGGGAGCCGATCTGAAAGCAAAACTAAATTGCTTTAGTCTCAAAGCTGCATTCTACACCACGTGCACCGCATTTGCTAGGTGGGGGTGAAGAGGTGACACGGGTTCGTGTGCTGAACGATATCCCGGCTACCTGAGTTTGATTACCAGCCAAGGCTAATTGAGTGGTGAGTGCGATCTGAACTAGCCCTGGGCAACACCCCCTTTACCTACTCACAGTGACCAGCATGGTTCGGTATGGTCAACGATACTGATACACTGCAAAGGGAGGCCTTACCCAGCAGTGGATGTGCATACTTATTACCGTTAATTTTTCCTGAAGATCATTGCGTGTCTGTGCTATTTCTCCCACATTCCCAAACGGTTTATTTATATCCTACCTTAAACGCTGAAAAACTAGCAGGGTTTTCATTTTCATACGTTGCTGTATGTACGTCGATAGATGTCTTCGTTTCGCTCAAGGATATTTACAATCTGCTGCTGTATCCCCTGTGAGCCAAATATTGACTGAACCCAGAAGCTGAGTCGGGTTGGGTCCGGTCAGCACCTGGATGGGAGACCACTGTTAAAACGACTTGGTTGTTTTAAGTGATGTTATTCCTCAGTGAAGGGCCAGAGATAAATCCAATGTTTTTGTTGTCTTATTTTTACCATCCCATTTGTATTTTATGTTTTTTTATGTCTCTTTTGTATAAAATTTGTCCGCTTCATGAGTCTAAATACAACATTGGCGTACATAATGCGTATCTTTGCACGATTTGTAAATAATCAATGAATTGATGCTTCATTACATTCCACCTTGAATTATCAAGAGAACACATTACCATATTTCCAAGACATTAACAAATGATGGCATAAGTAAATTTAATATTTTACGAGCCTAAAACCTTTGTTTTGAAAAAGTGGGTTTTTTTCTAGATATTATTATTTCTGTTAGTCGTGGGCAGCAGAGAGCGGTGCTGTATTTCTGTGCGTGTATGTCTATGCTCCCTCCCAGCCGAGGCTGAGCAGCCTGGTTGAAGTAAGGTAAAATTAATCCTCATGACCATGCATGGAGGAATGACACAAAGGGATTGCAAGTGCTTTATTCTTTTGCTCGGCTGTGATTGATGCCTGGGAGAATTTAAAGATGTTAGTTTGCGGTCTGTCAGCATTCTCAACCCAAAATCTCCCATGGCGTGCTGTGGAAAAGAATCCACCTTATACCAACATATTACGATGACATTACAAAGTGGTGAAATAAGCAAAGTAAATATTTGCCAAACCCAAGTATTGATTTATTTCTAAAACAAGTGTTTTAAAGATTTTTTTTAATTTGCTTTACAGCGTTTTGTTTAGCTGGTCAAATCCAGTGTTAATGAAACACTGTATTATTGCATGGTACGTAATTGCTGGCCTGACAGCTTTAAACAACAGCTAAGTAAGAATAATAGAGGATGTGCTTGTCTACTGAAGACACCTGCTAATCTTTTTTAAAATGTTTTTTTAAGAAAAGGTTTCTGACCTGCGGGCAGGGTGTGATATTTTCATTTCAAGTCATCAACCATTCTCAAAGTGTTTGGCTTGGGTTGCTAGGTGCCTGGTATAAAGCGAGCAAAAATATATAAATACAATGATACATATTTTCCAGTGTGGTGAAAATCCACTTCTAGATGAAGGCCTTCGAAATCCGTGTTAGTAATGTGGATTGTTTGACCATACTTCACCACACTTAGCAATGTGGGTTGGTGAAGTTGGAGGGGAGGCCAGACCTGGTAACAATAGACTCGCAAAGAGCACTCAAAGGTACATAGAGACAAGCAGACTCACATAGAGACCCAGATTTGCATAGAGATCCACAGATGTGCACATATACAGTCACATAGAGACCCACACATGTGCATAGAGACACAGACTCTTATAGATATCCACATACTTAGAGACATAGACTCACATAGAACACTTGCCACGAATGTTAGCCATGAACAGAAATGGAATTCATGTCACAAGGTTCATAGAAAACCCTAAAGTTTAAAATGTAGTTTATATTTCAGTGATATTCATTTTAAATCAGGTACGAGGTGTGGTTCCAGAGCACTTCCATATATATTTAACAAGCAATGAGTCAAATGACACTTGAAAAATGCACTTGGAGGGAATAGTTTTAAATGCAATTTAGGCTACAATTTTAGACTGTGCGGGAACAGTGGTGGTGTAGGTGGTGGTTTGCACACTTCGCTACAAACCCGGTGATCCGAGTCCATTTCTGCTCTTGGCTGACAGCAATGGCAATGATATCTGAACTGGTCCAGTGCCCCATCTCCTAAATCCACCAAGCCAAACTGCTCAGCATCATATTGTATTGTTAAACAACTCATGACCAACACGGGCGGGAGGGGGGTTGCATTTGGCAGTGCATTTCCAAAGGACATAAAATATATTATTGTATTTATTGTTGCTTTTATTGTGCAGTGAATACAGCTCTTTTTTTCTTACAGGTGACCCTGAACTGGGATGCAGAAGGCTCATGTTTGGAACAGTGGAAGGAGACCATCAGAAACCCGGACAAAGTCTTAACCTACTGGCACAAGCTGAATGTGCCTGATTCACATACCATGAGATTTTGAAGGGAAAAAAACTAATCCACGCCCCCCCCCCCCCCCCCCAAGAAAATAACACCATTGTTGGTTCACAGCAGATAAATTATGGAACTGGTCTCACAACAATATATAATGCAACCATTGTGGCTACCCACAAGTATTGCAAGAGGCAGCTCAAAAGAATGTGATGGACCATTCATCCCTCCTGATCTGTAACCCAGCCAAACCACTAGATTCAGCCTTTCATTGGGTTCTCAATTGCCGGACTCTTCGTCCACGTCATCTAATCCCTCTGGCCAAATCACCCAGAATGCACCCGATCTTGTCAGATCTTGTGAGATCTCAGCAGCTAAGCAGGTTGAGCCTGGATAGTTGCAACATTGGGAGACATCCTAAACAACTGTGCAATAATTACATGTAATTAACGAAGTTCAGAATGTGTAGGGTGTGGCTATGACACGTGTAAGTCAAAGCACAGGGAGTGTAATCTGTATCGCCTTACGACTGATTTGAAGAATATTGTTACAGGCTTACATATCAGAGTAACTTGACTCGTCTAATATACGAGCTGAAAAATAATAATGTGCTGCTTTAAATCCCCAAAACTGCATGAAACATTGATGCATTTTACAAAGTACCTCGCAATGATTGTACAACGTGAGCCATGATATAGATTATAGACACATTCAGACTAATTAGGAGTTGTACGGGGCTGATGAATGTGTTAATGTGCGACTGTTATCTTTTTTTTGCTGCTAATAATACTTTGCTTTTGTCAAATTCAATGTTATTATCTTCAAACACAAGTGTGTTTAAGCATATATATTTATGATGACTAGGTTTCATTGGGTAAATGTTATATTATATATCATTCTATTAATAGGTTATTCGAATTATGTACACATTTCCTGGTAACAGATGCAAGCAAAAAAAAGTGGTATTTTTCAGAAAAATGTGTTTTAAGGGTTTTTATCAATTTTGCCTTCATCTAGTAGTGGATTGACCGTGGCTGATGATGATTGGTGTTGTATTCGAGAAATACCTTTACATAGGTAAAGAACTTATATCAGGCAAGTCGGGTCTACCCTTCCCTGCCGGCAACATAGGTTGGAAATGGTGGATATGCCCACACTTAGCCCTACGGCACTTTACCTTACCAATTGTGGTCTGCCAACCGACTGCTCATTACCATATACTGTACAGGTGCAATACCAGTTTGTGAAATGTGGCCAAGGTTTTACAGGTGTTGGTCCAAAAAATGCATCTTCAATAATGTATTCAGTGTTGTACGTTTTAGAAAATTGCGTGTGCAAACAGCTGCATTTGCACACGTATCAATGTATACGGGTGAGTTTTAAAAATGGAGTTTAATTAATGTCTTGATTCTATTAACATTATATATTTTCTTCTGATTTTGTTCAGGAATTACATGAGGTGTAAATGTTTCGGCCAAAAAATCATAGGTCTGTCTCCTCTTGTATGATGTTAAAATGTAAACCGTCAATTTTCTGGAGAAACGTGTAAAATGTGTTCATGCCCTAGTACTAACAGTTTACTTACCTCGTTTAGTTTTTGTATGGCTTTCAAAATGACAAAGATATACTCTATATGTGAAAACAAAAATCAATATAAGTAAAAGGTCTTTCCAATAATGCCCTGATAGTGTTTTGTCTTTATTGATAACTTCGAAATGTCATAGACATAGCCATAAAACATTGTTTATTATTTTAAAAAAATGTGCTAAGATGGTTATATTTTGCATTCAATTCCAATGTTTGTTCTGTCTACATTATATGGACAGGGCTGAGCCAAAAGTCAGTCCTCACTCTATTATCCAACTTTCCCAGTCTATTACTCTTCTATTAATATTTTTATTTTACAAGGTAAGGCCCACTGAGCTATATGGCTCTTTTTTCATAAGCGACCTGGCCACAATTGTTAGCTCAATAAAGTGGCTTATCACGTGGAAATTTATAGCAGCCAAATGTTCTCAAAATCCACACGACCACGGGGAGAACATGCAAACTCCAAATATACAGGCATCAGGGGATCGAACCCACAACCTGTATATCAGGCGAGGGAGTTAACATCTTACCACCCATCCAACAACATCATTCTTGCTTCTTGTTCTCTACCCTTTCTTTTGCCCCTCCAACACTTCTTTAATGAAAATTAAGCTTCTCCTTTTCACAGCATGTGAATACATTCCCTCTTTCAACTGCTGTATGAATGTACGTTGGACTTATTTTACACCGTACGTAGCCAACCGTGCTAATTGTAGAAACAAGTACTGTACAAAATTTGCCACTACTGTATTGGCTTTCTTTGCTTACAAAATCCCCAAGTCTTTCTTCTCTTTACAAATTCCCAGTTCACACTTGCCTGCTTCTCTCCTCCAACTAGATTCCAATCTCCCATTATCGCTACGGGTTAATGAGTTCTTCTATTCATGCACCTACTCTTCTATTCATACACCTCTTCTTCACGACTGTGCTCTGAAGTTACATAGACACTTGGATAATGACAATGTCCCTCGGTTTCATACAGATCTTCATCAATCTATCATTTGCTCAATTTCACTTTGGAAACAGACTTCCCTGTCTTCCCAAACAGGCTTTCTCGCCCACCAGAGAATATCACACTTAAAACCATTACTCTGAATATCTCGTCTCTCAATCTCACCTCACACAATCCACGCACGTTCAGCGTTTATTTTTCCATTTCTCTCAACGTTTTCCAACTCGATGCTTCTGAGCATTGTTCTTACATTCCACATTCTAATCTTAAATTGTAATTTGTGAGCATTGTGGTTCCCTCCCGTTCATTTGGAAGAGCCCCGTTAACGGCATTACTTTATATATTAAACGTTAAGGTGGTTCTTGATGGATTTATATGCATTTGTTGAGTTGTATTTTTCATTATTATAATTCCCTATTTTTAATTTTTTATATAAATGTGACATCTAATATACATCTTATGTTTTGAAAAAGTCGTGCTTAACAAAACAAATATATGCCCATATTCTTAGCTCTTTCGGTAAAGTCACGTTGAAGGGAAACAATAAAATAATAAAATATAAATTTCGATTTAAAGCTTTCGTGACTGCAAGGATTCATCTTCTTTGGTTCTTTCGGTAAAGTCACGTAGAATGAGAATAAAATAATAAATTGATAAAATAAAATAACAATAATATTCTCACGACGTTTCGGCCACAACACAAGCGGCCTTCATCAGGTGAAGGGACGAGACAGACAGGTCATCATCAGGTGACACCTGATGATGACCGTTTGTGTTACCTGATGATGACCGTTTGTGTTATAGTCGAAACGTCGTGAGAATTTTTATTGTTTTATATATTTTATTATTTTATTGTTTCCCTTCAACGTGACTTTACCGAAAGAGCTAAGAATATGAATTACTGCAGTCACGAAAGCTTTAAATCAAAATATATGCCCATTTAGAATTGTCAATTTCAATCAATACATACATTTTTGCTTAGTATAAGTGTACCATACTGGACTTGATTGCATTCTCGGCCACCTGGAGGTTTGCGAATGCATGCATTAAAATTCATGTCCCCAGGCAATCCGGTTTACTGTATATAGCACCATACAAATGAATGCTACCACATTTCTGTTTTTATGTAATTCAAGTTTTCAAGTTTGATTTATTAGGTATAGCCCTGTGAGCCATGTGGCTCTTGAGTCGGGTGCAACCGCAACAAACAAAATATGAACAGAGAAACATCTTAAAACGACGACGCACAACAGAAACATCCTGGATAAACCAGAAAATCTTCCAGGAAAAAAAAACACCGTATTACAACGCTGTGTGCAAAAATCCCAGTGTGATGCAAGACAAATAATAACAACCATAAGACAATTTAGATTCAAGTTATCAGGCCAACTCCGCACTTCCGCAAGAAACATGGCTTAACCATATGTTTTATAAATAACCAAAATAAAGCTATAAAATACAATTGAACCGATGCAACACTTGTAATACATTAAACCCCAAGAAAAACAAAATGCTTCATGCAGCATTATTGTCATCAGACGTTTAATGTCATACAATCCGTAAATGTAGGTATCCTGGCTTAACTCTGACAATATTCCATTTTTTATTAATGCAGGTAAAATATGCATTATACAGTTTAATATTTTATAAATGAAATATTTTCCTTTACAGAAAATGGTATTGTTATATAATTTACGCTTACAAAGTCCAACATATAGGATAACTATCCTTATCCGTTGTGATGTAGGGGATCAATTTTGGGGATCCTATTATCAGTGGGATTATTCACAATTTATTTCCAGTTATCTGTTGTAAAACAAAATTTGGAAAATTGGAAAAAAAACTACTCGACTCCAACTGACCATGAAAATATCGTAGGTAACACTGGCCTACAGCCAAAATGCTTCCGAAATAAATGTAGTTCAACTTTACTAATTGTGGGTCACTGAGAATTAAATTATGCTTACAATTGTTGATTGGCTCTAGTTTTAAATATATGCTACTGGGTCAGTATATACGACCCTTGACTTGGGAATGGCGGAGGATAAGTGAGTTATAAAGGGAAGGAATCTCAATTTAAACCAGAAATGACTAAAATACATATTTGACTGGATCTATGAATAAATCTATGACTGGGTTTGGAGAGGACATGCTTTTTGAGCAAAACAATGAATGATGCAATCTGAACCTGGTATTGCATCATACATGTATGAATTGCATCATGTTATTCCTAGAAGTCATGGATGATGAAATCATAATTAGGCTTACATCCCTCTGCTGAACAAATTGTCCTATATCAGCTCTAGAAATCATACAGTGTCGTGCTCTCTTATTCGTCAGTGTTTGATTTTGCAAAGGGACACATTTCTGTTTAGCCAAAGTGAGCAGAGATGCCTCGTACTTGTGTGGACAAAGCAGATAACGTCTGCTACAGTATGTGTGTGGTGAAGTGACTTCTGCATCACAAAAGTGCAGTATAACCACTATGGTTAAGAAAGCCTATCACCTTTATTTTGTCTGTAAAATTGGAGATCAGGACAAGATGTGGGCCCCATACATTTTCTACAACACTTGTGCAACAAATCTTCGCCAGTGGTCGAACAGGAAAAGGAAATATATGCCTTTTGCAGTGCTAATGGTTTGGAGAGAGTCAACAGATCATACTGTATCAGCGATTGTTACTTCTGCATGGCGCCTTCAGTTGGGAAAGGTTTGTCAAAGAAGAAAAAGTGGACTGTGCATTATCCAAACATTCCATCAGCTATATGCCCAGTACCCCACAGAGAAGGACTACCGATTTCTGATGCACCAGAATCATTCTCACTTGAGTCAGACGAGGAAGAGGATGAAACTTCTGTTCCTGAACCGTCAAGGTCACGTGACCCGGATTTTCTCCCATCCTCCTCTTCTGAACCACACCTCGTAACACAAGGTGAACTGAAAGATATTGTCAGGGATTTGGAACTACCCAAGAGTAAGGCAGAGCTGTTGTGCTCCAGACTGCAGCAGTGGAATCTCCTGGCAGGTGATGTTAGGGTTTCCATGTTCCGTGACCGTCAAAAGGATCTTGTCCCATTCTTCTTCATGGAAGGTGATCTTGTAGCCTGCAACAACATCGATGGTGTGATGGCAGCCCTCAACATCGTTCATGATCCAGATGAGTGGAGACTGTTCATTGATTCATCGAAGATGAGTCCTAAAGCTGTTTTGCTGCATAATGGCAATGTTTTACCATCAATTCCAGTTGGTCATGCAGTCCACATGAAGGAAGCCTATGACAACATGAAACAACTGAATTTTGATTTAAAGCTTTCGTGACTGCAGTAATTCATATTCTTAGTTTTTTCGGTAAAGTCAACGTGACTTTACCGAAAAAACTAAGAATATGAAACAACTGTTTGAGGTGCATAAACTATGACCAACATTAGTGGCAGCTTTGTGGCGATTTGAAGGTTGTTGCTCTCTTGCTTGGTCTGCAGACTGGATAGACAAAGTACTGGTGATTGCTCTGCAAATGGGATAGTCGTGCGAGAG